GAATCTATCATTTTTTATATAAATACCTTCAAAAACACAGACTAGCGTAGGATAAGTTTCACCAGACATAGACACAATGGCGTAAAAAAGAATGGAGGCTTAGCAATTTTCTTTATAAAATAGCAAATCAGCCACGATCTCTCCCTCCTCACAGTCTCCACACCACGTGAAAAAAATGCGAATAAGTAAAAAAGTTAGGAAATCCAGTATGTTTATTAAAAAATAAAGCTTGCATAGGATAAGCATAGATTGTAAAGTTGTTAAAAACGAGTTAAGTTCTAAAACGTTACGAATCGCGCCAATTGTTTTAGTACAGTGATAGTGATTAAAATGCACTGCCAGAAAGTATAGACAAATCCTGATAAATCTATGAACGATTAACGAAAATTAAACACATTCTTTTAAGCCCGTACTGAATTTATTGCTGACAGTGTCTATCATTTTTCGGTCGTAAAGCGCTACAACAATTATCTCAGCCCCTTACAACTTCTCACAATACATTTTATTACGCATTGTAATTCAAAAATATAACCACATGCCATTTTTATTAGTAACTGAAAGTGTATACGAATAATGTCATTCCCTCGTAGTTAATTCTTCTTTTTATTATCGCCATAAACTATAACAATCAAACAAAAGTTGGGGAATTTTGTTATGATATGCTTTGTTGAATTTAATCCGTATTTTATACGAATTAAATCCACGGGGAATATTCACATGTAGATTTTTTATCTAGTTGTAACAATGCGATAAAAACAGGTTGTATCTTTGCTTTAGTCAAATTAAGTATTTATTACAACGATTCAAATTAATTTCAACAAAATCGTAAGGCAAACATTGTAAGAAATTAAATGCCCTCTTATATTATAAAATCGTTGTTATAATATTTTTCTATTCAGTTCGAATGTGTATTATGAATATTTTAATTATCATAATCGTAAATGTTTAAGAAAAAAGTAAATTATGTAATGTACATAAAGATATAACATATTAAGGCATGACTGCTCGTACAATCCAAAATTTGATGCCATTGCAAGAGAAATCCAAAATCCGCTTCACCCTAATAAACAGAAGTTAATTTTCATCCCGAAAGTAAATAGTAAAAACGCGTCGTATATGAGAAGATAACAGTAAAGTAATTGGCCGTGCTATTAATGGAAATAGGTCTTTATTAACTCTGAAACAGAAGTCAAAATTGTATAAAATTTGTGTTTTGGAATGCTACATTATCTTCGAATAAATGAAAAAAGTAGGGTCCGGCGGACGAACTTTTTAATTCGTAATTACAGGACACGGGCCAAGCTTGAAGCACCATTAACTTTTTTCCAAAAGGTGTATGACTTCCATGGGTAATATTGCAAAGGACGGAATTTTATTGTCCGCAACCAAATAGCTGTAGTAGTGATTACAATTCTTCTATTTGCGTACATATTATTTAAATTGAAGCGTTCCTAAAATAAATTTTGAGTGCGTGTGTAAAGTTAAAAGCTTGCTAGAAACGTTCCCATCTGTGTTTTTCATGTTATTTAATGGTTGATAAGGCAGGCTAATGCCTCATCAACCTTAAACAATTTTCACCGGAAATCGAAGAACGTTATCGAATATACTAAACCACTGAGACCTTTTTAAAAGTCATGGTATTGATAACAACATTATTGTATATAAGGATTATAATTTAAATGTTTCCCAAAATATTTTGTAACAACAATTTGAAAGCCTCTTGAAAAACATACACAATGTTAAACATTCTCCGTTTTTTGAAGTCAATTACAGAATGCTAAAATAATAAAACAGTGTCTCGTTGGTAGTCGTCGATTATTCCCGGAATATGACTATGGGTTTGTATGTTTATTATATAATTTAATTTAGCAATTGATAACTATAAATACAGTATAATGTTCCACGCTATAATAAATTCCTATTCATTAAACCAAAAACAAGTTTTTTGCATTTTAGTATAAGATTGTAATTTAAATCAAATGCAATATTCTGTTATTAAAATGGTAAGTATAATCAAAGCGTCTAGCAGTGTTTAACTCCGAACTCAAATGTTGGATTTCAAAGTGCGTCGTTAGCGGATCACTACTTGACAATTTTATTGCGAACTCAACTCGGTATTATCAGACTCAAGTGTACTTCACACCTCCCTTGCGCTAGTTATAACATTTTTGATGTGTGCGACTTTTCGTTCGTCTTTTTGTGTCTTTTGTAGATTTGGTTTCGTTTATGAAGACCGTAGATGCCACTTTCAAGTCTCATTTCAAAGAACGTATGATTAAGAAAGATACATCAAACAAGAGGTTGTGAGGGTAGGACATATATAGCCAGATTCACTACCCTCAAAAAATTATAATGCTTTCTATTTTAAAAAATCGACGATGCCGTTACTGATTACTGAATATGTTCACTAGTGCACTAAAGAGGCTCCTCCAATAAAAAAAAAAATATATACGGGTTCAGAAAGGTATGAAAATTATGCGCACGCGCTCAGTTTTTACTGACAACATCTGACATATTGCACTAGTTGACAGTCGGCTTAGTGCCTGTCTTAATTAAAAACTGTCATCCTTCGTATATATAGCAAATGAAATATTTTGATATTTAGATATTGCTGGATTTTTTAATAATTATTTACTTGGCAGCTTACATAATTTAAACCTTAAATTAATTGTGATAATTAATCGCGTTTTGATCTGAAAATTGTATTTTTAAAAGTTTACCAACAAAACTCCACCCGTATCGCCTCGACGTCCGTCGTTCCAAAACTAAGTGTTTATTAAGGCAGTTTTTGCCGCGCACTACGACCATGTGGAACCAGCTGCCCACTGAAGTATTTCGGAACCACTTTACTTATGGTTCTTCAAGAAAAGAGCTTACCAATTCTTAAAAGGCTGGCAACGCACTAGCGAGCCCTCTGGAATTGAGAGTGTCCAAGGCGGCTTTATCACTTAGAATTAGATAAGCTTCCCGCCTGTTTGCCGACCTGGCAAAATACAATAAAAAAATACAAATACAAAACACGTAAATTTACATATTACATCATTAAAAAAAAGCATTAATTACTGTATATTGTTTGTAAGACCAAAAAACAAAATAAGTTTATGAAAAAAGACAAAAAAAAAACTAAAAGCTAATTTAATTCCTCCGTTAGCTCAATATTTGTCACTCCTCTCAATGTGCTGAAAATCGAAAATGAGAGTCAATGTAATCAAGGTCCCCATGCGACAAAATGAGCAAGTCTCAAAGTAAGCAAAGTTCAAATAATTTCCTAACCCCTTTTGCAAATTACAGCACTTCCTCTATATTGTGAAAAACGAACGTCAACTCCATTGTTTTTATGAACAATGAACTTGATTTTGAGGCTCATTCTACTTGAAGCCTCTTGTGTACAACCAAAATCGCAATTTGAAACTGCGCTCTTATTTTCATTATTACGTTAACCTTGTGATAAGAAATGTTTTATTTTATACAGTAAATACTTTAATATAATATATAACAAAAAAATATTTACTAACAGTTCGTACAAAAATGGATGGCATAAAACCTTATTTGGTTTAAATTTTTATTTATTTATTGTTTAAAGAATAAATATATAAATTATTCGTACAAGGCTTACTTTTCACCGTTACATGAAACAAAATCCTGAAGCATATGAAATTTTGTTCGTTTTATTTTTTTCGCATCGTGTCGTACGAACTTTAAAATCTTTTTATTTTTAAAATGACTAAGTAAGTCTGGAGCCACCCAATCACACAATGACACAGTATCAGTAAGACGCAGAAATGTATTTGATCCATGGCCCGTTTGGCTAGAATATATAAATTTGATTGATGACATTTTTAAAGAAGTCCCATTAAAATTTTTAATGAAACTTTGAAATATTCTAAAACTCAACCCGAGCTTTTTAATTTAACTTTTAGTATATTTTATACAAATCCGTATGAAATATACGGTAATTTGAATAATATAACGATTTGAAATCTAAAAGGTTGGTTGAAGCGTGCTTGCATTTGCATACAGCTGATAGTGACCCTTACATCTTTTTAAGAGTCGGGGCTTAAACTACAAATAATAGTTATGTAATTAAGAACAATTTTTCTTAAGAATACATAAAGTGAAAAATGTAAATAATACCCTTAGTGTAGTAGTACTTAATATAAAATTTAACTAAGTGTAAATTCGGGATTCATTGTGAGGATTTTTGTTTTTGAAGAGGTTACACATGCAATTAATAAAACCATTATTGTAGAGACCAAGCGACCGATCGTCGTAATAGTTTTGTTAAAATGTTTATTAGTGATTTTATTATTATTTCTGATCAACGCGAGTTCTACCAAAGTATGCTCAGATGCCCAAGATTATTTCCTTTGGAGGGAACTTGTAAAGCATTTTGAAATGTCAAGGTAAGTAAATTATAAGTAAATAAAATAAGTTACATGGACAATTGAACTATATACAATAACAACGAAAATCCCATTATTTTTAAAACTATAAGTGATATTATTAATTCAAAAAGACCGCCAGAAGAAAACTCTAGAGACAAAGACGGGCTTAGTTCGTAATCATTTTTATTAACTTAATTTTCAGAACCGCTATCTCTAAAATGTCATAAAACGAGGGAATTAATGACTCGAAACTTTAATACTGACCAGTGGGTATAAAAACCGCCCAGACTAGGAAAAAGTTAATAAAGCCTGACGGTCTCCCCGTCGCAATTATTAATTTATACGTGAGTTTTACGAACAATATTTATTCTGCTGTGTTAATTAGGATGAAATGCTATAGAGGTATATTTACTGATATACAATGTTGTCATAGTTAATTAAATACCTTTGTTTTTATAAGGATTTATTATATAATTAGATTCCTGTTGCTATTCAGTAAGATTATAAAAAGTAAATTTAACATTTATACCGATATTTAAAATATACATATATAGAATTAACAATTTTGATAGTGTTATGTCTTAAAAGTCAATTGATTTTATAAATAATTTGAAGTTATTTGTCGCCGCCCTCTACACTGATGTATGAAGTGTAACACACTACTTCCTGGTTCCTACTGTTTGTGATCGATAGCTGTATACAATATTCTCCAACCATTTCGGGAGTACAGAAGTCCGATGCCGAGCCGTCTTCTATTAGTAGGTTGTCCATCACGTAGTCAGCCTATAATTGATTTTATTTATTTAATATGAATGACGGCTCATTGGTCTAGTGGTTAGTACCCCTGACTGCGAATCCATGGGTCCCGGGTTCGATCCCCGGCTGAGACAAACATCGATGAGATGAGCATTTGGTGTTGTGCTTAGGTCTTGGTTGTTTAAATGTGTTTAAATATGTATTTATATGTATATCTATCTATAATATTATGTATGTATATCCGTTTGCCTAGTCCCCATAACACAAGCTTCACCAGCTTAGCATGGGACTAGGTCAATTGGTGTGAATTGTCCAATCAAATTATAAGTTCTAAAACAACGTGTATGCATAAAATTATACAAGAAAATGTGACATCACAAATTTTACACACACATCAAATATATTAGAACATAAGTAACCATAAAAAGAAAAAATAATAATAACTAAAAAAAGTAATATTAATAACTTAAATTAAAAGAATAATATTAAAATAAATAATAACTAAATATCAAATTTAAATTTGTTATAATTTTCTTTTTAATATGACTATGTAGGTTAAGAAAATTGTAAATACTATATTATTGTTATGTTAAGATTTTATTTAACAAATAAACTAAATGGAATCCTAAACCTTATTAAGAGCATGATAAACAAAGTTACGGTAAGTTACAAGATTGCTATGTTATAATATATAACATAGCATAGTATGAATATTCATATATCAATATTTTCATCAATGTTAGTAATTAAGTTGTAAGAGTTGTATAGCCTATTAATTTTGAATTAAAAAAAATACTCAAAGCTATGTTGTGCTTTATACATTTATAATAGAAACTAATAGTTTAGAGAATTGGGGTCAAAGAAGGGCCTCGATGGCCTTATAAAATGTGAATTAAATTACACAGTAACAGTAGCTCAAGTACATAATTAACGCCCAGCCTTTTTATATTTTTCGTATATTTATTTACATATATTTGTACAGCCCTGCGATTCTGTAATTCACTTTTCGAACTCGCACAGCGGTTTTCGCATCGGCGGTCGCTCTGAAATCAGTCGTGAAGCAGTCATTTTATGATTTGGCCTACTGATAAACAATAAACTACAAGCTCCCACCTTTTCAGAACCAGACACCAATAAATGTAAAACATTAAATATATAGTCTGAGTGCAGAGGACGCAGGTTGCCTGGAATGGTCCAGGCATCTTAGAAGAGAGCTAAGTGTAATGCGAAAAAAATGCGTATTGAAATTGTATTTAAAATTAATACCTTAACAATTGGACATTCTTCTATGTTCAAATTCTTTACTAGTTCGTACCATGGCATGTCTTCCTCTTTCAAACTAGCGCATATGTTACTCGCTGCTATCCACATAATATCATTACACGATGAACCAGATACTTTTGCTATTTGTAACTCTAACTGAAATAGTATAGGCAATATATTTAATGCCTACTAATTATTATTAATGCCTACTATCTACTGCCTATATTAGTATAGTTCGGTACTCTATGCCTTATCTGTGCCTATATTATCAGTTATCATAGGTAAGATGGTCACAGATTGGCCCTGTGGGTCAGATTCAGCAAGATTTGCAGTATATTAAAACGTATTGCATTCAGTCACATTGTTCGCACATTCCATTATAAAGGTTAGGGTATGTAATCAAAATTAGTAGTAATTACTGCTTTGCCAGAAATCAAACTAAAGATAACATAAACTGTGTTTGAGCTTGTGTTTGTCACTGTGAATGAATAATATATTATTAATTCAGCTGCTCGCTGAAGTATATCCGAACCTATTGGACTTAGAGTCCTTCAAGAAAAGAGCGTACCAATTCTTAAAAGGCCGGCAACGCACTCGCGAGCCGTCTGGGTTTGAGTGTCCATGGGCGGCGGACTATCACTTAACATCTGGTAAGCTTCCTGCCGTTTATGTTCGCAACCGCAAAGTGAGACCGTCTGTCGCCAAACCATTGACATCAGTCTGAATTCGTTTCTGAATCTTACCATAAGTTTTGAAGAATAAATACCTGATATCCGTCATCAATTTCGTCGGACAAACTTATTGTGCCAGATAGGCTGACTCCACTTCCATTATTGTGAACATATCCTAAGGACATGGAATTCAATTTTGCAAACTGATTGTCGAAGCCGTCGCACTCTTCCACCAGATCACTGAAGCTTATCACACACTATAACAATAACCCTTAATAAATTAGTTAATTTACTTTTTTACACTAATATAAATAATATTACACGTGCGTGAAGCATGGATGAGCCTATTTCCGAGTATCGGTACTGACTAGAAAATGGACTCTTGAAAAAAATAAAAATAGTTTTTTTAGATTCTAACCTAACCCTACACTGATTTTTCCGATATATTTTCATATGGCACGCCCTAGGTATAAACCCATTTTTTATGGTAAGAGCGCTTTTTAAATTTGGAATGAACAAGAAAACTAGTTTCCGTCTAAGCTAACAAGAAAACTCAAGTGTTTATTTTTGTACTTTTGTTGGTTTCTAAATAATCTTATTTCTGACATATTTTATATAATAATTTTTGCAAGTACACGAAATTCTTTGAGACCCTTGTATAGGTTATTATACGACCAGCAGATTGTATATTAAAAATCTATTCAAGTGAGTAAAATCCAAATATAACACAAAATAAAAATACAAATTTACAAAACATACCCGATCATCATCATCATCAGCAAGAGCAAATTTAATATCGATAAAAACAACAATCAATATAAAATATTTAAATAAATATTCATGTGACATTTTCAAAACGTATCTGTCGAAACAAACAGTTTCCTTCACGCAATATGTTTTATATTGTGATTAGATAAACATCATTTTAATAGAACAAATAAAACGATAGGTTGCGTGTTTTTAATAATTAGTGTAATTTTAAGCATGCTATGTAAAGCTTTGTATTGTGAAGGACAGTTATTCATTGTCAAGGCTAAACATGTTGTTCGGGGCAGAAAATTTAAAGCGAAAGACGAAACGAACGTGCGTTTGTATTTTATTCCAATCAACGAGTTGCGATGGCTTTTACCACCCAGATGAGATTTTATTTTGTAATTTTAACTGTGAATACATTTAAACCATATAATGAAAGGAAATATTTGTTATATTTCCTACAGGCTTTGTTTCATGCATCTCGTACGTAAAAGGTTTTATTATACTATAATTGGTATTTCTTACTTATTAATTGCTAAATACATTTTATGATTTCACTTTTTGTACCAACGAAATTTGTTTAAACGAAAATTGCACTTATAACTAAAGCATCCTTCGGTCTCTTATTGTCAAATTGTACTTACTTATGTTAGCTTTTAATATTTATTTAATTAAATTCTAAACATTTTTATGAAACATATTCTTTTGCTACAAGTGCGCATGTGCAATAATTACTCATTTGACTCGTTCGGTTATTTACGAATTGTTACGAATTGACTCGAATAACTGCCTGAAGTGGGAAGGTCGAGTCGGGGTGGGGACTAGATGATAAAAGAGGTTGTAACACATGCGCACAGGCAATTCCTTTGTTCAAGTTTGAGGTTATACAGTTTACGTAAAATCAATGTGTGAATTATAGTGAATCAAGTCATTATTGGAGTGTTGAATTTCCTACCTTAAGAACTAGATCAACTAGCCTAACACTTATCACCTAATTAGTGCAAACGTTGAAATAGATTGTTTTCTTTGTAAATAAGTGAACTCATAAAATTAATAAATATACATTGTATGAGACAAAAGTATGTCATAGAAATGGCGCGGTATTTTTCACGTGTAACAAACAAATGGGGTGAGCGAGGTGTATATCATTTCCAATATAGTAGTTTTATGTAAATATCGCCTACTTTTAAACTGTCGTAATTTTTAGATTCCGATTGGAGTTCCCCCTCGCAGTATTTGTTATCTCTAAGAGATAAATGAATTCAATGTTTTGATTTACAGCCTGTTATTGTGGCAGTAGTGATATTACGAAAATCCTGATTATACTGCTTGAAGAAAAAATTATTAAACTATATATTATTGCGGGCATCAGCCTTACAAATTTATTTCTATATAAAATGCATCAATGGAATATTACGCTGTCTTTGCGACATATCTGCTTTTTAGGTTTATAGTTGTGAAAATTTACAATTGGATATCATTTGTTTGATCATTGTTTGATTTCTAACTAGTTGTATAGTAAAACAATTTTAATATAATTATTTTAAGTCTTGTTAGAATCAGTAAATTATCCACGCAGTAAACATTCCTTGCTTTGTTAAATTTCTACAAGTTATATGGAATAAAATCACTCATAATATTTTTTCCAACTTTCGCAAGCTTTATTATAACTTTTATACCCACCGCGGTGCCACCGTTATAAAAGTTGTTTACTATAAATATTGCTTCAAATTAAAATTGTTTGTTAAAATATTGTTTGTAGTAAAATAACTAACCATCTTTTAATCCAAAGTCGGTTAAATTGAAATAGGGTATATTCAAGGGACGAAAGCCAAATAAAATTTTAGATTACCAGGCGCCCATAACTTGGAAAGGGTAAATGATTTAATTATGCGCATAGAATTGTAGTCCCATTTAATTTGATTGTGAGTGACACCTATGCAAATGATACGTACCGATTAATTGAATATCTTTGTTAGAGAACACTCTATGACTTTTAGGAAGTCCCCTAACGCCAATGGCTCGGAACTGAATTGAATATTACATTCAATGAAAGTAATTTACCTAAATAAGCTTACTTTATCATAGAGTTTAGATATGTATTATATGTGTATGTATTAATTAATACCTTTTGTACGGATAGGGCACCGGACCTCGAGGCCAATCCCCTAATCGCTGGACCGATCAAGTAAAGGCTCTTACAGTTCGTACCATCACCCAGGCGCAGAGGATTGCCGAAGTCATTTTACATCTTCGCGATGGCATACTCGTATGCTATCTCGAAGGTGTAAAGCGTGGGAGATCACCAGCAACATCTCGCACCAGCTGCAAGTCTTTATCAGCGGCTGTCTTCACCGTATTCTGGGCATCTACTAGCCCGAGAAGATCTCCAATGAGCAACTTATGGAGCGCTGCCGAGAAACCCCGATTAGACAGCTACTGAAGCGACAGAAGCATTATATTTAAGAATATTTGGCATTTTTATTTTAATTCGTCTTTAATTTCAAAGCTATGATTATAACGCTCCATAGGTGGCCTACCTATGGAGCGATGTATAATTTTTTCATTTTTTTATGATATATATTTTTTTCATTAGCGCCCTACCCACATTTGGCATCCATATGATAATATCCATATTTTTAAACTAAGCTTAAGATCGGATAAATTAAAAATAATAGTTTTTATGAAAGAATTTATTAATAGTGACTTGGTATTTTAATATTTGTAACTGTCTCGGTGGAGCCTTATATTTTATAAGATAATATTATATTTAGGTTTAATTTTACGTCAGCCTTGCGATTCTGTAACTCACTTTTCGAACTCACACAGCGGTTTTCGCATCGGCGGTCGCGCTCAAATCAGTCGTGAAGAAGTCATTTTACGATTTGGCATTCTGATAAGGAGGGAGCTTGTAGTTTATTGTTTATCAGAATGCCAAATCGTTCGTGCCAAATTGCAGCCATCCACCAACATTTGAATTGTGGGCTAGTGGTGGAGCCAGTGGTACCTCCTTGGGGTACTCTCTTTATCTTTAGCTTAAATATCCTTTTTTATTTAAACGAAACAAAAATATCTCCTTAAAGTAATTTTCAGAGTACAGTATCAATATATCGTATGAAATCTACGGAATGAAAACAAATTACGTAAAAAATTTATTTATCACAATTATCTAAACATTAGTAGATCGAAGCGTATCCTGTATCCAGTCCATGTAACTGGCAACGGATGAGTAGACTCCTGGCCAGCCATCCCTTCCACAACCGTAACCAAATGAGACGACACCAACACAGGTCCAGATATCTCCAGTCCTCTTCATCAGTGGACCACCAGAGTCTCCCTTGCAGGCGTCCTTTGCGAAGATTCCACCAGCACAAAGTTGCTTGTCCGTTAAATGTGCTTTAAGTGTTACGTATTTGCTAACACATTCCATTTTATCGTACATTGGTATTGTGAGTTTCACTTTCACTGGGCTGCTTTTTCCTGGAAAATATTTTTTAACATTTCCTTTAAACTTGTATATTGTTACTCAATTTTTTATTTATTTTTTTGCTCACAATAAAGTTCACAAAAAGCGACGAGTGAAGAAAGTGCGACTACATGAAATATAATCTAGCCTATACAATAATTATGGCTAATAAGTAATATTATTATGACCTAGTTTTCTACAATACTAATGAATAGCTTAAACTAAGGTAATGTTCATTAACAGTCTTATTCTATAATTTGATGATTTTTATTTAATGTATCATCAAAGTCATATTTTAATTTTCCACCCCAATCGGGATTTGAATATCAGTTGGATATGCTGACTACCAGAAGAATGACATTATGTAACGCAATATTATATATTACATCAATTAAGGCGGAAATACATTTTGAATTAAATGTATATTATTATTATAGTTCACGTCTAAACATTGGAAAATACAGAATTTGTCATAGTTGATCAAACAACAGGAAAATATATATAAATATGTGGAGTCGTGTTATGATCATGCGATTATCTATTTCCTGGAATCAATTTAACATGAAATTAGTTTTACTTTTGCTTAGTGTTTATTTATTTATTAATTGATAAGTATTTTCAATAGTAGAAATACAATTTTAATCCCATGTAATTATAAACTCTTCGTGTAAAAGGTAATCAAACACCTTGCTGAAAATTAATATCTATTTACTAAGAAATTATTCAATCATTCAGACGGGGTTCCAAATTTAAAAATATCAAAAACAATTTCACTTCAGGTTTTGCTTTTTTTTTTAGAAATTTATGTATATATCTTAAGATATAGACGAGACCTTTAACTAAACCGACCTAAACTTGCCTCGGGGAAACAGTTTTTGAGTTTTAATCCTGCTAAAGCAAAACATTTTACATCAAGAAATCAAACCAGTAGAGCAATGCTTTCCTTAAATGAAAGATGTGTAGTGTAAAATTACCTTCCAAGGTTTTTCCCCATCCTGCAACATGCACTTCATCACCAACTGGCGGCAACGGCTGTTGGTAGTCTGGCAGACAGATTGGCGAAACGAAATCTAAAAAATATATCAACTTCAATATTGGTTTTCCGGGCAAGTTTGATATAATTATTTTAATATCCGTTGTCAACATGATTACAAAAATCTCAAAATCGATGAATATACATCCTATATGATATACTATTATATATTATATATATATATATAACTACGTCAGTGCGACATCAAAAAGTAGATAATAGAAATCTTTGTTATATAAATTAATTAACACTATAGATTTAAATCTCATTGCAATGCTTATTAATACAGATAAGAAATAATGTTATTTTACAGTGTATTTTGATATATTTTAAGAAATTTTGGGCATGTAAAGAAATGTATGATTGTTACGTTAATTTAAATTTTCTAAAGGAATTTTTAAATTTTTTGAGCTAAATTCATAACCTAGGAGAGAGAAATTGTTAATTAATGAGTCTGCATTATCAGGTGCGCTAACAAGTAATGGTTATATGCACTTAGCGTTTCATTATCCTTAATTAGTGAAAACGATCCGTTAACATCATTTTATATATAGAAAACTATCTTGAATAATGTGACCTAAGTTACCTTACTTTATAGAGTGATTTCTATAGAACTTTACTTCAAACAAAAATATTTAATTTCAGTTTTTATAAGTTGAATGTTATAATTGTTGTATGTTGGACCCACCCCGGCTTCGTACAACCGTGACCCTTAAACCTTGAAAAATTATATACCTAAAACTGTCTCATGACTTATTTTAGATATTGATGAAAACTGCGTTCCGTGAAGTTCCGTGCAGTACTTTTTAAGCAAGCTTATCACGAAGAGACAGACATATTATGCTGTCGCTGATTTTACTGTAGGCTCTACAACAATTACCAAGCTACTTTTCGTTAGAATTCAATTATATATCCCTCATCAGAAACGTTTTGGTTCGATTGTTTTTCTGTGACTAGACAAACCGACTACCACGATAAAGTTTTGAAAATTTTCGGGCTTATTTTAAGTGATACGCCCATGGAAACTCTCAATGCCAGAAGGCTCGCCAGTGCGCTGCTGGCCTTTATAAGATACCTCTTGCACGGTGAGGACACCGGCATGTCTTATTCCAAAATCGACACTTATACCAATCGTACAGCTGTCTGCTTGCCTTTCTTTTTCGTAAAATGTATTACTGAGTTTCGTGCCTGTCTCGAAAAGCCGTAAGTCTCCTCTAAACACCACTCTATCCTCAGCTTGTCTTAGTGCTTTAGGGATATTGAGTCCAATACTTGTCTTTATTTGGTCAGATCAACGGGAAGGCAATCGACCCCGACTACTCCTGTCATCACTTCTCTCTACCATACCAACTTGTCGAGACTATTTGGTTCTCTCCTGGCAATATGGCCAAAGTTTTAGCATCCGCTATTAAATGATAGTCTTGTGGTGATTTTACGTTGGTTGTGAATGGCAATATTCTCCTCCAAGACCACATCTTGATTGCTTCTATCTTTCGGTCCGCTGCACGAATTGACCAGGACTCGAAAATTTGGTAAATACCAAATTTCTGTCGAATCGACGAGTCGGCTCTTGGTAGTATTCGACACGTTTCTGTTTCTACATTCTGGTCAGTTCGCTTGCTTTTAAAATTCATCAATTTGATACATGCAAAAATCGGAAACCAATATCTTTACTAATATTATTAAGTGGAATTATTTGTATGTTCGTAAGGAAATGGCTCAAAAAGTACTCGACATGAATACTACATTATCACTGATTAATACAGGCTATTTTGATTGCAAGAAAAAAATGAGGATCGCCACTAAAACTACAATAATGTTACCCAAGGTGTAAAAAAATGCCTATAACATATCTTTCATCGCATGCGCTGCGAAAACTATTGATGATAGTAAAAAAATCTTCCAGAGTATTAAAGAACATATCAATATCTACAATTTTTTTTTATTAATGTCCACACGTGCGAAGCCGGGACGGGCCGCCGCTAGTCATAAATAATAAAAGGCTGTTTACGTTTAGTCATAAATAGTAAACAGAATAAATACCTGAATATTTAGCCCTCTTACTCAATCTGATGAGAGCAATGTCGTCTTGTCTGTTAACATTAGAATCTGAGAAGCCAGAGTGAGGATAGGCAGCTTGAACTAGAATCTCTTGAACTGGTTCTGCACAATCATCAGCTAAGCAATCTATATCTGATTGTGTGTCGTACTCGCCAAGGCGGACGCGATCTCTGAAAAGTATTTATTTAAGTCTTTAGTCGCTCTAAAATGTGTTTGTCTTACTTTTATCTGTTTCCATTTAATTGTGTGACAAAATTGTATGAACATTTTTGCAGCGCTTAGGCACAAATTGAGATTTTCCATACAAAATAGACAAATGGAAACTAATTGAGGTAAGACACAATTTAATAATGCTTTAAATTGGTAAGCACATATGATGAGTTATTATAATATTGTTTACTGTTTCGAGGACTTCTCAGCAATCGTATTCAGCGAGACTGTCAGTTATTAGCTCTTAAATGTGCTGATTTCCTCACTTTTCTTTCACCGTATGTATACACGGGGATTCGAACCCACAACATCAGTATAGTTTTCTAGACTAACAGTAGCCTAGAAGCTAAAGCGTTGGTATTGGCCATTTTCTCTTCTTTTAAAAGTTGTCTTTTATATACATATTACGGGCAGGAGGCTTATCTGATGTTAAGTGATACCGCCGCCCATGGACACTCTCAATGCCAAACGGATCGCGAGTGGGTTGCCGGCTTTTTAAGAATTGATACGCTCGTTTCTTGAAGGACCGAGTCAAATTGGTTCGGAAATACTTCAGTGGGCACCACATAGTGATGGTGCGTGGCAATAACTGACATAAAAAACGCTCAGTTGTTCAAGTTCACATGGTATGAGAACGACGGTGGCTGCCTTGCTATTGGATATAATTTTTGGCCTGATAAAAAATAACATTTCTTCATAAGCGTTTTATTAGTTATTTAATTGCTATTGGATATAATTTTTGGCCTGATAAAAAATAACAGTAAGAACTATGTCTTACATAAGCGCGTTGTTATTAGTTATTTAATTGTTTATTACTTACAATTTTCCAACCACGGTAAGAATTTGTCCTGTCACGCAATGAGCAGCAGTTAACACATATCGGTGATTGAAGAGGACTCCACCGCATTGATATGTCACTCGATCACTTTTAGTACCTAAAATATTATTAATTTAATTTTGACAGTTAAGATAAATGTAATGGGGAACAACATAGATACACATCTCCGTGTCATCGAACACATTAAAGCCTTAAGTGACGTCTCCACATCTCGAAGCAAAAGTTTTTATAGTCGATACGATGATATCTCCTATAAAACTGACGTAGAGGTGTTCCATACATTTGGTAGATTCGTCTGTTTAATTTCAAATACGCACGCGAAAATCATTTTTTCCAGCAAACGATTATCGTTTCTTTTACACCACATAAAGTCCTCGATTTTACGCTATTAAAGTGTCGTTACATATCTGGCATGATAATACAACTTCATACATTTCGGTGCTTATTAAATAACTTTCAAATTTAATCATAAGGATAACACAAAATAAAAAAGGCTATGGCGCTACAACCTTTTAGGTCTGGGACCGAGCCTTAAGGGACTCTGGCCCTAATGGGGCGCGGGGACGATAAGGTTCGTTCTAAGGGAGCGGTCGGAGAAAAAGTCGTGTACATTGCACACTTATGTGCACTTGGTGGTAGAGTTTGTACACCAAGCCGTTGTGCCCAGAATGTTGTGCTCCCTGATCCTATGGACTTGAAGAAGGCAGGAGTGGGCCGGTCAAAACAAAACTGCTCATCGGGAATGCCGATTAAATTTTTCTTTTAATGGAATATCGTCGTGGCCTGAAGACCGGTCAGCTCCGACTGTTTTAAATGGGCTTTTCCCACGACTAGCAGAAGGGTGTCTGCTACGGGACTCGGACCTCGGTTCGAACTGTCGTAGGGCGGTCAAACGCCTGAAGGGCAGGACTGAAGCTCACTGGAGTGAGCGAATTACGTGTTTTTTACTCTAGTCTGAATATGCATTGCGCTTGAAGCTTGTTACGGCGACTTTTATAATTGCAGCCTCCAAACGGTTCTACCCTACCAAACATGCCGATGTTGCCATTGTCAAAAAAGATAATAATTTGTGGAAACTTCCCACAGAGTCAATATTTACAAATCAACCTAATGAATGCTTAGTTACTTACGGTATCCTATTAACGTCATCCAAGGGAACTCATCGAGATCAGCAATAATGCCTCCAAAGATCCTGTCACTCCTTTCAATACCACATTTGCCACGGCGTTCTGGAAAGGAGTCCTCGCGAACTGATGGATCTACACCTACATCTGGTGGGAGAGTTGGACGAGGCCGTGTCTGTAAGGGTTGCAAAATTATAGTATTTGGATTTGATAAGATCTTGCAAATTGGGAATGTCTTGTCTGATCAAATAGAAAAATAAAAATAAAAGTTAGAAGGGATACAGTTATGTTATGATGTTAGCACGAAAAATATCTGACATCCCAGATGTACTATATTCTAATATAATTCTTAAAGGTTATAAAAACGGCTTATTTAAAAAAAACATTATTGTGTTGATAATTAGAAATATAATAATTGCATCACAAACGATAAGTTTCTGCTTAGGGAGCGTTTAAGTATTACGTAACGAATTTTCCTTTTGTAAAACGTTCCGATGCTTTGAATTGAATTGAATTACGCGTTATTGTTAATATTATTTTCGACTTTCCAGTACTTGACACCACATAATGGTAACTTTTAGGCATAAAGAGTCACTAGGTGGTCACGAAACGTTTTACTATACTTGGGTACAGAAAAACGTTACGGGTCAATAATCTCCAAAAATTGCATGACGTAATACTTGAACGCTCCCTTAGAGCACCGCTATCATCCTTTGTTGGTAATGTATCAGTCATAAGGCATATTGTTAAATAAGAGACTTTTTTGAAAGGGCTTTTACAAGTAGGTATATTTCAAATTACGCATTTGTGGATACAATAAAGATTTATACTATAAATCATGCGTCCACACTCTTTCGTCTTTTTGTCAGATACAATCGATTTGTGTTAAAAATATCTAATGAACTAACCGTTGGAGAAGCTGGTGTCTGTGGGGGTAAGGGACCACAGCAAACGATAGGAATGCTTCCATCAAAACCACATTGTGATTGCCGAAGAAAGTTTACTGCAAAGGCAGATAAAGGCCGCTGCGCAAATGCAGCTAAATGCTCGGGGCAGTCATAAAGCGATATGCAGTTACTTCTCCGGCCGAGCGGTGTAGTACATTGTTCTGAAACTGATATTTTTTTCGAATATTATATACATTTTGGGTATTTAACTTTATTGAAAAAAAAGGAAATTGTAAGGTCTCTGTATCTGTATATAAAAAACTAGTCCAATAATAATTAAATGGTTCCACACATTACATATACAAACTAAATAGATAAAACTATAAAACAACCTCTTTCCCTATTATTACTCTGTATACAAAACAATTAGGTATCAGAGTTGATACAGAAATCCTATTATTTTAATATAACTTTGAGTGCTTTTCATCTTAAATTAAGCTTAGGTAACAAAACAGAATTCGTAAATTTTATGTATTATCAAAGGCTTTAAGTTTTGAGAGCTGTCTGTTCTATTTAAGTGCCATTGATACATAAAGTTGTAATTAATATAATTACAATTCTTCGGACTTACAAAAAAAATCCTTCAATTTATATGTGCCGTGGTTAGGAATGCTAAGCTAATGAGGAAAAGCATAACCAGTTCTTTAAAAGTCTTTATAGTAATAGTAGTAATTAAAGATTACGGATGAATAAAACATACGTTAGGTTATTGATGCCAAAATAAATATTAACATACTCAAAGAAACCACGAACGTTTTTTTTTGCAAAAATGCACTAATTACATCTTTTGAAATCTACGCAGAATTATATTATACGCAAACACTTGCAAGATAACATTTGATCTGTGATCTATATCATATGATATCATGATGACTTCTTAATGCACAACTAGACTTCCGGGACTATGTTTATCCAGCTAAATCAAAACGAACTTCCTATTTAATATGAATATAATGTGTTGATGATGATGATAATATTCTATGCCTAAGTGCAATAAGTTGTCCATTACTGTCCGGCTTCTTTATTAAAGATAACAAGTTCATCATAGATTAAACCTTAAACTAAAAGTCATGCTATACTTTGATAAATTATTTAATTTGAAGGTTATATTTTATTAATATACATGTTTTAGTATTAATACGACTTATTTTTTTATTACAATTAACTTTGATTCGCATAAGAAAAAACATGTTTTGAATACGGCAATTTGGAATTACCATTCAAGATTTCTTGCGTTGATATTAAAAACAACGTCGTTTTAAAATATGATTCACATTGATATAATATCAATTAGTTAGTCTTTGTAGCTTAGTTGTTTATCTCTTTATTTGATTTACGTCCAAAATACAATAGAACTTGGAAACAACAAAGTTTATAAGCGCAGCCCTAATAGTTTTTTGACCTTATAAATCTGATAAAAGTCCTAATATTCATCTAAACGCTCTTTGGTTATATCAGCCGGTAATTAGATGTTGTAATACAGAAAAGTAAAGTCACGTACATCAGCTAGTCAACAATGCACGGTGCATTGTTATTACGACTTGCGATTACTCTATACTGCTAATATAAAGATTTTTTTATTAGAACCTGTAATAAATAAAAAAAATACCAAATCATCGGTCTTTAATTACTTACATGCATTATCCGCAATTAAAATCAGTCCAAATATCACAATAAAACACTTCATTTTAAATTCTATTTACGCAGTCATCACTAAACAAATTAATAATAGATATTGTAAAGAGATCGCGCCTTGTTCAGACCGCGGAGTAGTACTGGATCTTAGAGGTCATGTACACTATATTTTATGTATATGTGTATCTGTATTGATTACGGTCCGCATAATATATAATATACTATGCATGTGAATATTGTAGTTTGTTGGAATGTCACAAAATTTTGGTGTAATTTTAATTTATTAGAAGGATTTTAAAAACACTAAATGTTTTTGCTTTTAAATTTATGGTAAAATAAACAAAAATATTTTGATATTTCTGCCTCACCCCTTCATCTTTTTTGATATAAAAGGGTGCAAACAGGTTCATCTGATGTTAAGTGATAGTGTCCATGGACTCTCACTAGAAGGCTCGCGAGTTCATTACCGGCGTTATAAGAACTTTCACTCAAACTCAATTTAGTAGTTAAGTACAATTGTTATTATTATAAAACTTAATAACTTGAATACAGTATACATAATTGCAAAACGAGTTAACACGTAAGACGCGTACTTTCTTACAAGTTAAATAAATATGTTAAAAAATACTACGTAGTTTGAAGGCATAACCTTATGCTTTTAAACTAGTCTTTTGTACTTTCGTAGGGCTGTAGTATTAAATTTAGACTATATATACAATTCCAATCTCGCAACAAGAAAATAAGAAATCACAAGAAATCATACAAAAAATAATTCTATTGTCAAATAGTGTATACTTGTTAGTCTGACCGTACAAACGAATGCGTCAGTGGACTAACCAGTTTTTATTCTGACCGCTTCTTGTATTTACATTAAATATTTTCCTCTATCTAACATGAAACTTTTGGTCATGTTAAGATAGATAAATTATTCACATATATATCATGTAGTTTTAAAATATAAATATTTTACTCAAATAATAATAAAATACGTGAATATAAGACGGGTGCTGTAAAAGTATAGTGCTGTAAGCATATACCATGCGTTTTACTTTTGATTCCCTATAGCATAATTGATAAAACGTTAAAAAAACAGCTTGCCTTAATGTATATGTATTGCTGGATTACGTTCATAACAAGTAAATCAAATATTTTCTTTTGTATTTTTATGGACTTAATTAATAAGATATATATTATACGTGTTTATTTCATACATGGTAATAAAAACAATAACCTATATACGTAGTAATTACATGGAATACTAAAAACAATCAAACAAAATACGATCAATAGTGCTTCTTAGAGCATGCTTATGAATGTCAACAACGTTTACAAAATTCACGAAAGAGCAAGACTACGCCATTACTTATTAAGACTATTATTCAGCCCATAAATATGTGATATAAATATTATATAAAACATAAATGTATAATTAATAAGATGGAATTCCAATGTTATTTCTCACCATTCACCGGGGTCTCCCCAAAGCCAACTATATTTATATTTTTTATTTTTCCTATTTACAAGGTAAAATTTTACATGAATTCGAAGGAGAAAAAAAATCTTAAAGCGTTTATGGTAGCCCTATTTTAAATGTGATACTTCGATAAGTTTCTTAATCCATCCAGGCCAGCCTTGCGATTCTGTAACTCACTTTTCGACCTCACACAGCGGTTTTCACAGCGGCGGTCGCGCTCAAATTAGTCGTAAAGCAGTCATTTTACGATTTGGCATTCTGATAAACAATAAACTACAAGCGCCCTCCTTATCAGTCAGTGTTACACTGGTAACCTGTAGAAACTATACCATAGGCGTTCTAGGAACCAAAACTGCCAACGTTTATCTTATACATAAATCTTTACGAAAACCTGAAATTACCATCTCAAGTATGTCACAGTTTTATATAAATTCGGTTTTAATAGGCGTAGTACAAAATATATACATATATTCAAAAGCAAAGCCAAATTTTATCACACACACTTACTTTAATCGGTAATCGACCTAGTGCCCAATCAGTCGTTTTCTACGGAACTGGGGCGCAATTTCCTCAATTCGCTTAAGGATTAACATCATTAACTTTCGTGTTCCGACTACTAATTGTGTTCAGCCCCCCATTTCACTCGTCATTTGATTATTTTCTCGTCAATGCTATGTGATAGATGTTGTTTGATTTATATGTTGAAAGCTGATTATCACTTCATAATGTGGCAATGTGAAATTTGTACTTATTTATTTCATTTGTAATCAATCGCTTATTTGCAGAACTTCATACTTATAAGAGGTGCTAAAACTCTAAAGTCAGTCATGGAATTTTTAGAATAATAAAACAAAACAATAAATAAACGTTTATGATCATATGGTTGGTTGAACGTTTAATTGTAGGTACATAGAGTGTTTGGCGGTATACAGGATCTTATCTGATAATTAATTGATTGTGTCCCGAAACATTATACAGAATAATAAGATATATTATAAAACAGAAATTGTAAATATAACAATTACTTGGGGACTAATACAAATATTATTTGTTCACTGTATCTACGGTAGTAGCTGACAAGTAAATGAATGTAATAAGTTAAGTTAGGTATGTTATTGGAAATATTGTTAATCAAAACTTTACTTATTGTCATAAACAGGATATATTAATTACGAGGACTAATTAAATGTTATTGAGGAAAATTGGTTTTCCTTATGTATTTATAAGTATGCGTTCTGTATGTAAGATTTTTCATTAAATATCTGATCTAATTATATTAACTGACATTCATTACAAGACTGTTGCTTCACATACACAGAACCAGATTGCAGTATTATCATAAATTAACTGTGACATGAAAATATTTTATGGTTAATACGATTTCTAGTTGAACACAGTAAAGAATATTTTGCTTCAATATTAAATGTAACTGCAAGTCCCAACACAGCAAATAGGTGTCTCGTAAGTGAATCACGTACACACGGACAGACGGACCGTGTAGATACAAGCAATGAATAATATAAACTGTGCAAAATCAGAAAATTAATTTAAAATAACTTTCTATGGCTGGAAATGTAAAAAGCTGTTAAGATTTCCACAGCATGGTATCATGGTTAGTCTCCAGGACGATACGGCCACAAGTGTGGGAATAAAGATAAAAGACTCTTTATTTCTTTCAAAAGGACGGACGTCCGAAACGGCCGGAGTATTACGTGAGCACGCGCATGAGCGACTGTTTTATTTGCTCATACAAAGGATGATGATGTCATTATTTACAACCTGTTATTTGACAAATGAAAATCAAACGTCACCATCACAACACACCATCGTGACCTTCTTCATTTTAATTTGACGCCCGCCTTGTTAAGCCAAAAAATGCAATGGACTTGTAATTATTAACTATAAATTATTCAATTAAAATAAATAAATAAAATTGTATTGATTTCCTTACTGTGTTGTTGTGTATTATAAAGGTATCATATGATAGTAATAAGTACAAACTAATAACAACTTATTTAAATTATTTTGAAAAAACACAACGTATATCTCTGAATATCTCAATCTCTATCATATCTATCTAACTGAATCAGTAGTTCTCTATTTGGAATTTAGCAACGAAATACAAACATAATGCTTACATATTAAGCTAGTCTAACTTGATAATTATTTTTGTTTTTCAACATTTACCGTGCCATTTATGTAAATCCTAAGATTTACCAACGGAATGGTGGAAAGAGTTCGAATCGCAAACCTTTTGGGACATTTACCATTAGGAATTGGTAGATATTAGGTTTTACTGGAATATCTTAGGATTTACTGCAGTTCGAGCTTTTACAGTAACATATATATTAGTTTGGAATATATTTATAGTTACAATCCAAACTAGGTGTAATATATCAATATCAGATTCAGTACAAATATCAGAAGCGTCCACCATGCGCCATAAATAATACTTAGGCCCCATCGATTATATCGTGACATAACGTTAGTGACAGATCCCCGATGCAACGATATTTCAATATTATGTAGTCCATGTTTGTATTTTCCTGAAAATGGAGATTATTTTGTTTATGTTATAAAATGTATACTAAAAACGGCGAGCGATAAAATATGTTCATATACACAATTAATTAAGTATCTTTACCTCCGGGGTACTTTTCCCGCGTTACCTCGGTCGGTAAGTATATAGCCTAGCTAAATCGGTAATTTAAGTAATTGTGTATCTTATGTAATTTTGCACTTCTTGCGCTCACCTTATTTAATCATTTTGATATGAAACATCTGTAGCCGCACGTAAAACCGTATATTTCTGGCGTGGCGACGCATGCCGTGGCGACGCGTTGCGCCACGCTATATGATGTAGTGTGTCAGTTGGAAGTCACTGATTAAACGAATTAAGTAGTCACGATTTGAAATAAATTCGTAAATTTTTGTATTTAATGAAAATAAATGTTTATTCAATAAATAGTCATCATTATGACATATTTAGTTCCTATCATAATCTGTTCTTTTCTGCTTTTCATATTACTTTTACAAAATAATGTCGATGTTTCACATCTGCCAGGCGTCCCGTGACGGCTCACATTATTTTTTTCCTTACAGTGGTGGCCTGAAAGAGATCGCGAAAGCGATAAAGCCACCCGTTGACTTCCATATTATTTAACTATTTTAATTGTTTTTCGTGCAACCAGTGAAAATAAATAAAAAATATTTTATTTTAATTTTTTATCGCGTAACTCTCGCAAGGAAGACTGAAGGAGACAATATAGATTTAATTAGTGTTAATATTAGTTAATAGCTATGAAAATGCCTAGAAATAAAATAGGTTCTCCTTACAGACTCTTAGGTAGTGAGTGATTAACCTTTTGTAACTTCCAACCCGTAACAAAAATCGTTTATTAGGGTATTGAAGCTTTACAAAATATAATAAAACAGATGAATGCAATCGAATGAGGCAAAGAGCTATTACTCCTATGCAGACTTTACATGCTAAAATAATTATTTATTTAGATAAATGTGTGCGACCATACATTAAAATATTATAAATAAAACAACATGAATGTTTGTAGATAATTAGA